GCAGAAAGGCCTCATCTCCGGCGAGCCGCGCTGGGTCCCGTCTCCTGCAGCTGGCAGTCTCGCCCCCACTCTCCCCCTACCAAGGGTTTGCAGCTTGGTAGCTGAGGAGCTGCAGGAGACCCCGAAAGTGGCCACATTTGGGAGCGGGGGGGGATCAGGGATCGGGCCCTTTTGCAGCAGGTGCCGCTGCCTGGAGCCTGGGGCCGAGCCGGCAGGCGGGGAAGAAGCTGAGATATGATCAGGGAACGGGTGTGAGGCGGGGGGCGCGGATCGCAGAGGCCGGTCCGGAGACGCGGGGAGCGGTCAGGGAGATGCGGCCGGGAGCGGGGACGCAGTGGGAAAAGACGGACTATTTGCAATTGCTGGGGAGGGGGGAAATGCACGAGAAGCAGCACGGCGGGGACAGCTGCGGGGTCAGCCCCGAGCGGGACGCCGAGACAAGGCGGTGCCCGGCGGGTGCAGCGCTGCGCGAGGGACGTGTCTCCTTTCCGGGCGGCGAAACGAAGGGGCCGCGGCTTGGCAGCCTGTGCGGGGGGACCCTAACGCAGAGGGAAATAAGGACCAGGTGCAGCGGGTCACTCTCACGCTCCCTCTGGCCAAGGCAAGAAGTCTGCACGGGGCTGCGGGATCGCCATCCCCAGCCGGCGCCGGGGAGCGGAGGAAGCGACCCCCAGATCAAATGCAGCCCCCTGCCCTCCAGGGCCCTGCTCCTAGCATACATGCGGGGCTGGGGAGGTTTCACTCGCCAGCCGCTGCTGGGCTGGGAGCAGAATGGATCCGGGCCTCTGGCTAGGCAAGGGTGAGCTCCCAGCGGATGGGCAGAGCCCGGGGCGAAAGCGGGGCCCAGAGCCGGCAGCTCGGCCCCGCAGAGCCCTGCTGGGGCGTCCCGGGCACGCGGGGCAGGGCACGGGCCGCTTTACAAAGGCCCCCTTCGCCAGAAACCCTGAGTTCAGCTCATCGCCTGTTTTCCCAGAAACAAGCGCTGCCCCGCGTAGGTACTCATGAAAAGTCCGCTCAGGACCGTTTGCGAGACAGTCTCTCTCTGTGGGTCTGATGAAGGGAACTTCAGCTTGTCCAACCTTTTGGTACATTCACACACACACACACACACACACACACACTTTGGTTATATAAATATGTACACACACGCACATACACATATATATACACATACACATTTTGGTTATATAAACACACACTATATGTCTATATAATCTCTGTGTATACACACACATATATATACACATATGAATATAAACATATATATACACACACACATACTTTGGAGATATCTATATCCAAAGTGCTTGTATTTGTGTGTGTATCCGAAGTGTATGGATATATCTATATATCTATAGATTTATCTATATATATCCAAATATCTATATATATATCACACACCCAAAGTGTGTGTGTGCGTGTATTATATATATATATATACACACACACACACAATACACATGCAGTTTGTGTGTTACACTTTGTGTATTACATAATACACGCATACACATGCACTTTGAATATATATATATATGAAGATACAATATAGATATCTAGATATACCCAAAATGTGTGTATATGTGTGTGTGTGTATGTATATTCTCCATACCCTTTGGATACACACACACACACACACACACACACACACACACACAAGCACTTTGGGGATGTATGTGTGTGTATATATATATATATATATATATGTATGGATGTATGTTTGTTTGTATGTATGCATCTGTACATACACGCACACCCTTGATAGTCTGTACCGTGCAAATCTACCCTGCCTTCTCCTGGACTTCAGACTAACAGGACAACTCGCCATTGAAACCCCTCCGTCAGAGGCATGCGTGTCTGGAGCGATGGTATATTTTACCTAAACAGGGAAAGTTGGTAACAATTTCCCTTCTGTCCTGAGCTGCTGTGATTCGGACTGAACGAGGAGCCTGAAACACAGTCTCCCCAATAAAAAATAATTTGATAAGAGCTTTTCGGTCGGGCAGGCAATGCCCCGATTCACCGGGATGCGGATCCAGTCCCCAGCCCCTCCATCTCTTCTGCCTTCATTAACATTTAACTTGGTTTCAAAATGGCATTGCTCCTCGGGCCGGGCACGAACCGCGCGGTGGCCGGGCCGGCCGGCAGGCGGCGCTGCGCACACGCGGATCCTGCCCGGCCGGCGCGGACGGAGCCGGGGGACTGCGGAGCCAGTCGCTGCACATCAGACACCGGCCCCCGGCACCGTGCGCCTTCGTGACGGACAGTTGATCCTAAATGCACGTGTCACACCGCATCCCGGGTCCGAGGCAAGCAGCCCGGGGGAGGGACCACCGCTGCCAAGCCCCCGGGGGCAGGGGCGCTGGCGGGAGGCCGGGCCCGTCGGGGATTGCAGCGCGGGCGCGCACAGGCGCTGATCTCTCGCCTGCTCTCAGGCAGGGACCGTGCTCTCCCCAAGACACTCAGGTCTGGGCATTGCATGACCGGCGATTCAGGGGGTGCCCGCCCCGAGCCTCCCCTTCTCCGTGGGGGTCGGGTCCCGTGTCCTGCGCACACGGCGGGGATCTGGGGGCCCCGAGCTGGCAGGGGGGGG